TTGGTGATTATGATGATGTTGGTGATGATGGTGATGGTGATGATGTTGGTGATGATGATGATGTTGGTGATGATGGTGATGATGTTGGTGATTATGATGATGTTGGTGATGATGGTGATGGTGATGATGTTGGTGATGATGATGATGTTGGTGATGATGGTGATGATGTTGGTGATTATGATGATGTTGGTGATGATGGTGATGATGTTGGTGATTATGATGATGTTGGTGATGATGGTGATGGTGATGATGTTGGTGATGATGATGATGTTGGTGATGATGGTGATGATGTTGGTGATTATGATGATGTTGGTGATGATGGTGATGGTGATGATGTTGGTGATGATGGTGATGATGTTGGTGATTATGATGATGTTGGTGATGATGGTGATGATGTTGGTGATGGTGTTGATGTTGGTGATATAATTATGATGATGGTTTATGATGATTTAGATGGTGATGATTATTATGATGGTGATCATTATCATGAAGTTGTTGGTCCTGATGTTGATGGTTTATGATGTTGATGGCCGTTCTGTTATTGTTGATATTGCTGTGTGTTCAGAGGAGGCCAGAGAGGATCTGCTGAGTCTGAAGGCTCTGCTGGCGGTTTGGCCTCTCCTCATCAGGTGTTCTGATCACACTCTGGCTGATGTTCAGCTCTGGCTCCAGCAGTCTCTGGGTCTCCAGCGTCTGATGGTGGATCCACACTTCACTGTAGATCCATCTGGAGTCATGCTCATCCACTGGGAGCAGAGATCACCGTTTCAGGCTGTGCTGAGCATCTACTGCAGGTCTTAAACAGCACACAATACACTTATAAACACTGCACATAAACATAATCATAAATATAAACACAATACTGGATGTTAGAGCTATTTTAAATCTACACATAACATTTCCAAGTGGTATCTATACAGTTGGAGTCTGAATTATTATCCCCCATATGTTTGTCCCTCAATTTCTGTTTAACGGAGATGATATTTCTCAACACCTTTCTAATCATAATAGTGTTAATAACACATCTCTAATAACTGATTTATTTTGTCTTTGTCATGATGACAGCACATAATATTAGACTAGATATTCTTCAAGACACTAGTATTCAGCTTAAAGTGACATTTAAAGGCTTGACTAGGGTAATTAGGGTAAAGTTAGGGTAATTAGGCAAGCCATTGTATAACAGTGGTTTGTTCTGGAGACAATCCAACACTAATATTGCTGAAGGGGCGAATAATATTGACCTTAACATGGGTTTAAAACAATTAAAACTGCTTTTATTCTAGCCGAAGTAAAACAAATGAGACTTTCTCCAGAAGAAAACATATTATGAAGTGCTGTTTTCCTCCACAGGAATGAGCTGCCTGTGCTGCACTTCCTGCAGGCTCTGTGTGACTTCCTGCCAGCATCTCATGATGTTCGCCTGCTGAAGAGTGTGAGTTTTTAATATATATTTTTTTCTTTTAATTAAATTTTCTTTCATTGTTAAATGAATTTAACATGATATCCGAGCAGAAGTAAAAAGTTAAATAGAACCAAAATCATAATGTGCCAAGAGTCAGGATGGTCCATAGGTTGGAGGAGAGTCCTTACCCCAGGTGGAGGAGTTCAAGTATCTTGGGGTTTTGTTCAGGAGTGGATGGAGCGTGAGATTGTAGCGGCAGCAGTAATGCAGTTCATGTACCAGTCTGTTGGGGTAAAGAAGGAGCTGAGCCAAAAGACAAAGCTCTTGACTTACTGGTCAATCTACATTCCTACTCTCACAGTCATAAGATTTGGATCTCCGATTCAAATTATTTTCCTTTGCAGGGTGGCAGGGCGCACCTTTATAGATAGGGTGAGGAGCTCTGTCACCCAGGAGGAGCTCGGAGTAGAGTCGCTGCTCCTCCACATCCAGAGAAGTCAGCTGAGGTGGCTCAGGCATCTGTTTCGGATGCCTACCTAGGTAGGTGTTCCTGGCATGTCCCACCAGCAGGAGGCCTCGGGGAAGACTCAAGCTGTAGGGACTATGTGCCTCAGCTGGCCTGGGAACGCCTCGGGTACCTCCTGGAGGAACTGGAGGAAGTGTCTGGGAAGAGGAAAGTCTGGGGTTGTCTGCTAAGACTGCTGAATAATAATAAAATAAAATAAAAACATTAAAATAATACTATATCACAAATTAATTTATATTCAGGGGATCGGGTCAAACCTTATATGTTAACAAAACTTTTGCGAGCATTTTAGGTAGTTTTTAAAGTTTTATGGATTGACATAAAATTCTGAAATCATTTTAAAATGCTGTGAAACCAAGAGAAACTTTAACAAATCTAGATGTTTCTATATAAATGGCAAATGGGACCAGAAAAGTTGAACAAAATAAATAATATAATTGTAGGAGATATACATTGTATTGGCCACAAGGTGTCAGTACGAGAGTATATAACTGTGGCTTCACTGCATGGAGGAAGAGAGCGCTGGTAGGAAGCACACAGTTTTTGACCGTATCGTATCGTAACTCAATGTAACGTAACAACTTAAGGTAACAGAGAAGTGTGCATATACATGAAAGAAAAGTGATGAAGGAATTCTGTTGATTGGAAAATAAAGACATTTTTATTTGCATCTGTTTTGCCTACGGACTCTGACTTTTTTACGCGTAAAAAAACTTGCTTGCTCTGCCAACAATAGCGGCAATGGAACGCCGCTACAATAATGCAAGAGATCAGGCGAGCATATATGAAAGACAAAGATTTTATTTTCGAGACCAGGCGTGTTTATACAGAATATATTTGAATAACTATTCAAATAAAATATTTCACTAAAACTAGAAACATTAGACAAGATTTTCACTGAGAGCACTCAGATAGATGTTTTTAATAAATAATTGCATTTGATATTTTAGAAATAAACACAAGCATTTTTTAAATAAATGTATAGTTTAAGGTTCATAAGTTATAGTTTAAAAAAATAAAAATAATTTTAAGTGATCTATTGTGTTGAAGTGGAAATAAATGATCTAATGTTTTTAATGTCATTTCATTTGTACACTCACCGGCCACTTTATTAGGCACACCTGTCCAACTGCTTGTTAATGCAAATATCTAATCAGCCAATCACATGGCAGCAGCTCAATGCATTTAGGCATGTAGACATGGTCAAGACGATCTGCAGTTCAAAGCGAGCATCAGAATGGGAAAGAAAGGGGATTTAAGAGACACTGAACGTGGCATGGTTGCTGCTGCCAGACGGGCTGCTCTGAGTCTTTCAGAAACTGCTGATCTACTGGGATTTTCACGCACAACCATCTCTAGGGTTTACAGAGAATGCTCCGACAAAGAGGAAATATCCAGTGAGCGGCAGTTCTGTGGGCGCAAATGCCTTGTTGATGAGGCCAGAGGTCAGAGGAGAATGGCCAGACTGGTTCCAGCTGATAGAAAGGCAACAGTAACTCAAATAAGCACTCGTTACAACCGAGGTCTGCAGAAGAGCATCTCTGAACACACAACACGTCCAACCTTGAGGCGGATGGGCTACAACAGCAGAAGAGCACACCGGGTGCCGCTCCTGTCAGCTAAGAACAGGAAACTGAGGCTACAATTCACACAGACTCACCAAAACTGGACAATAGAAGATTGGAGAAACGTTGCCTGCTCTGATGAGTCTCCATTTCTGCTGGTCGGGTCAGAATTTGGACTTAACAACATGAAAGCATGGATCCATCCTGCCTTGTATCAGTGGTTCAGGCTGGTGGTGGTGGTGTAATGGTGTGGGGGAGATTTTCTTTGGGTCCATTAGTATCAATTGAGCATCAACGCCACAGCCTACCTGAGTATTGCTGCTGACCATGTCCATCCCTTTATGAGCACAGTGTCTCCATCTTCTGATGGCTACTTCCAGCATGTCATAAAGCTCAATCATCTCAGACTGGTTTCTTGAACATGACAATGAGTTCACTGTACTCAAATGGCCTCCACAGTCACCAGAGCTCAATCCAGTAGAGCAGCTTTGGGATGTGGTGGAACGGGAGATTGGCATCATGGATGTGCAGCCGACAAATCTGCTGCAACTGTGTGATGCTATCATGTCAACATGGAGCAAAATCTCTGAGGAATATTTCCAGTAGCTTGTTAAATCTACACCACGAAGGATTAAGGCAGTTCTAAGGGCAAAAAGGAGTCCAACATGGTACTAGTAAGGTGTACCTAATAAAGTGGCCGGCAAGTATATATATATATATATATATATATATATATATATATATATATATATATATATATATATATATATATACACTTAATCTCTTTTTGAATTATGAAGTTGTTATTGTCATGGAATATGTTTTATCTGTAATGATCTTGCCGTGAAGTTGCTGAAAATAGAGCAAATATTTCAACAGTCAACATATTGCACAGAAATGAAATGTCTGTGTTTGCTGTTATCTGCAGAGCGTGAGATCAGCTGGAGGTTTGGCTGAGAGTCTGCAGACTGAGATCAACACTATAAATCAGGGCGTGGCTTCAGTCCTCCAGCGGCCAGATGAGGAGGAGCTACACGCACATGGGGAGGAGTCGGCGGAGGAGTCACATGGTAAAATCTAGTAGGGATACAGATGCGTATATACCCACATCAATATAGTATCTTGTTATGACACTGCACAACAATAATTCATATTTTTACATTAGTGTGAGGGTAGGGGTATACGTTAATAAAATAGCTAGTTTAATGGGTAATTTACTAAATAATGTGAATGACACTCTGTATAATTACTGTTTTTGCAGTACTGATGGTTGAGTTTAGGATTGGGGTGGGGGTAGATGTTAATGAAATACGATTAATAGGTATTTAATAAATAATATGAATAATACTTTGTATAATTACTGTTTTTTCGTAGGTGTTAATAAAAAACAATTAACCGGTAATTTAATAAATAATATAAATAATTTGTGTTAAATTTTGTCTGCGACTGTATCCCTTCTAGGTACAACCGAGTCACAGAGGCTGCACAGGCTGAGGGAGGCGTGGTTGAGGGAGAAAGGGCGGAGCTATGACAGGCTCCGCCCCCTGCTGGACTCCACAGAGTACAGCAGACTCACAGAGCAGCTCATTCACACACAGATGAAGACGGATGAAGAGGCTCTGATGGAGGTAAACTGCACACAACAACCAATCCTGGTTTTGTTTTTTGTAAATCACTAATTAGAGTGAGAGTGTTATCATTAATAATACTTATAGTAATTACATTTTTTATTTTATTATTCGCAGTATTTTGGTTTGTTGTCGTAGCATTTTTATGTTATTTATATTATTATTATTTTATTTTAAAAAGTTTTAGAATTTTAGACTTAAGAAGTTTTAGACTTTGGATTTTCTTCTAATATGTTTGGTTATTTTATTAGTTTTATTTATTTACAATAATGCAGTTGTTTGTACGCAGTTTACTTTATTTTCAGTGTTAGTTTTAAAACTTAAATGGAAATTTGAACTACTGCAGAAGCAACTAGTGTAATTTGAAGTTTTCGTTAAAAAAGAAAAAAATTAACGACTTTATTTGATACTTTAAAAAAAACGCAATGTAACACATGTAAATGCAAAAGTAATTATAACAAAAAAGGTTAAATACAAAATATTACATTTAGTTCTTAATTAGTTATGAAATTTATTTATATGGGTGGCACTGTGGTCTCATGGCAAGAATGTCGCTGGTTCGAGTCCCAGCTGGGTCAGTTGGTTTTTCTGTGTGGAGTTTGCATGTTCTCCCCGTGATGGCGTGGATTTCCTCTGGGTGCTCTGGTTTTCCTCACAGTCCAAACACATGCTCTATAGGGGAATTGATTAACTAAATTGGCCGTAGTGTATGAGTGAGTGTGTCAATGAGTGTGTATGGGTGTTTCCCAGTACTGGGTTGCAGCTGGAAGGGCATCTGCTGTGTAAAACAAATGCTGGAATAGTTGGCGGTTCATTTCGCTGTGGCGACCCCTGATGATTAAAAGGACTAAGCTGAAAAAAATTATGAATAAATATATTTATTTCTGAAATATTAAATAAATCAGATTATCACTGTACAGTGAAAAGATTGATTCTGATTGGCTAATGAGGTGTGATCTTATTTTTTGAGATAAAGTAGTAGCTCTGGCAAGTTTTGAGTAAACATATATAATTTTTTTGCATATATACAATGCACAATAAAACTGATTATTATGGGAAAAAGAGCCGTGCAGATAAACTTGAATTGAGCTGAATGTCTCTTTATTTTCTACAGGTGGCGAATGAAAGTCTGAAGTGGTCGATCTGAATCCACAGCAGAAGAGCGTTTTCTGCAGATCCTCTTTCACTTTTCCACAGGAATCAGTTCATCTGTCAACAGTTCTGCTGGAAAACTGTTTATAAATATAAACTCTAGCCTTAAACGTGTGGCATCAGTGAGATTATTTTAATGTGATAAAATAAACTCATTCTGCTCACAAATGCTGCGTTTGATCACAAACACAGGAAAAAGGGGAATTGTGGGATTTTATTGCAATATAAAATAACCTTTGTCCTATTGAATGTAGTTTCAAATGTAAAGAGGAAACAAAGCACTCACATTATCTTGTACATTGGATTCCACTTTAATAAATATATATTAAACAAATCCAATTAATGGAGCCATTTAGCAGAAAACGGCATGTTTTTTTTATAATTATTTTTTAGGGGTTTTCACCTTTATTTTATAGAACAGTAGAGAGTATTAACAGGAAAGCATGGGGAGCAGATAGAGGGGAAGGATCTGCATAGGACAGCAAAGCGGTAATTGAACTTGGATGGCCATGAGTACCAGAGTACATGTGTCGACGCACTAACCACTACACCACCAACACAGACAGAAAACGACATGTTTTACTCTAGATTTTAGAGCTAGGGTGCCATCATCTTGGAATATCGCTGTGTCTGACGTCACGGGGTTGGTTCTGTTCCCTCAGCTGAACAGATACAGTGGAAGTAAAGGACTGAACACGAAAACTGAACAGCCTAATTTAACCCAATGTGTGAAGTTGTGGACGTGGAGCTGCTGCAAATACAAGCCTCAGATGTGTGTCTAATATTAAAATATTTGTTTTTTCTTGTTTCCCTTTTAATTACCGATCATTTGATGCGCTTTGCTCCACTCTCTGTATTACACTGCCTGACTGCTTGTCTGGGTTTGCAGCAGCTGCCTTGGTTTGACTTTGTGCCTAATAAACTGGCCTTATTTTGCCAGCACCCCTGGTGTATTGTCTGTCCATTACAAAATGGAGGAAGAAACTAAACCATGAGCTGTGTACTGAAGTTCCTGTCGAGCTCTGTCAAACTCTCATACATCAGTAGTCTTTTCTGATCCTTCCTTTAACAAACAAATGACTTGCCTATTGTAAGTGTGTGGATTGCTGAAGCACTCCTTTCCTGAACACTTCCAATAATATCCAGGTAAGCACAGCGTCCTCATAAATCATGATGACTTAAGGATCTGTCTTTGCTGCTTTGTTCGTGGGCAGGGCTGCAGGTTTCAATTTTCCTGGGTTTGCATGTGCAACAATTGGGCGGGGCTTATGTTTCGTAGCCACGTCACGCCGATACGCCTAAAGACTCGTTAACAAGACGATTCATTCAAACCACTATGAGTCGACTCTTTTATAGACGAATCAATAGTTTTAAAAACTGTCCACTTTCAGATAGTTCACTTCACTTACAGCTGTGTTACACACTACATGGAAGGTCATTTTCAAAAACACATAATATGGCCTCTTTTACATGTAAAACGGGATCATGAAAGAAACATTCAAAAAGCAACTCATGTAAACACCTCAATCTTATTATTGCCTTATTAGATTAAAGCAAATGATTCCATCACTGATGTCCATGTAAATGTCGACATTGTGCGTGACTCATCATTGCAGAAAGGCTTGAAAAACTCCACAACAAATACATTGAATAATCATTGGGAAAGTTCTTACTGTAGTTTTTCTCACAAACGTTATACGAGTTCTGCTTCCTTCATGTTTGTCACTGTGCTGTTTATCTGATGCAGCCGAGGCGGAGGCAGAGGCGCACCGACAGGCAGGTGGGAATGGTGGGTGGGGAGAACCAGCTCATTTGCATTTAAGGCGCAGCCCACAAAAACAGCTACAGTGTGTTCAGTGCAGAAGATCCAACATTCTGAAAGGTCTAATCAATAATCTGATGGGTGTTTGAGCTGAAACAGACTCATTCTGGAGACACAAAAGACGCATCTTACATCTTGAAAAGGGGGTAAAGTAGGCGCTCTTTAAGAGGTCTCACTATTTATTTATTCTGAGTGGTTGTTTTGGAATTTCCTATTAAAATAAACATAACTTGAATGAAGTTTCCAGAAAATTCCTAATTTAAAAAGGTCAATATTTTCTTTTGAATATTTCTAATGATTTGAGCTGAAGATTAAAGCTGAATGTTTTTAATGTCAGAGATGATGCAGAAAATATTTGATGATTTGCTGTTTCAGTCTGATAATCAGCCCCGTGCTGAGAGGAGTGTGTGTCTGTCTGTCTTTCTATTAGTGAGTCAGCATGTGTATCTGTTTGATGTGTGGTGTGAGTATGTGTGTGTCTGGTGTGTGAGTGTATGTCTTTCTGGTGTGTTTTGAATGTTTGAATCTGTCTGATGTGTGTTTTGAGTGTCTGTGTGTCAAACTGCGTTCGTCACTGTCTGGTTTGTTTTGGGTGTGTATAGTGTCTTTCTCGAATATGTCTCTCTTGAGTGTGTGTGTCTGTCTGATGTGTGCTGTGCGTAAATATGTGCGTGTGTGTGTGTGTGTGTGTGTGTGGATTTGTGTGACTGGTTTAGTTTGATTGTTTGTGTCTTTTTGGTGTAAATGAATGTGTGTGTGTGTGTGTGTGTGAGTGTTTGTTTCAGACTGTCGTGTGTGTGTGTGTGTGTGTGTGTGTGTGTGAGTGTGTTTGTTTCAGACTGAAGCTCCTCTGACGACTCTTCAACAATCATCTCTTCAAGTGTCCTCACTGTTACCATGGAGACCAGCATCACCGTCCGGCTGCAGCCTGAGATCAGTCAGTGATAAGCACACACACATACACACATGTGCTTTTTAAAATCTAACTATCTATCTATCTATACACCCACACGTGATGCTTGATTCTCATTGGCTGGTGGTCACTCTAAGGTGTTTAGTTATTGTCAGATAAAGGCACAGCTAAAGTAGTTCCAGCAGGTTTGAGCGCATTACAGCTCCATATCACTACACTGCATGATTAGTTATTTCACAGCTACAACAGTCAGAAATCACATCAGAACACAACAGAAGGAGGAGGAGGAGATGTGGAGGACACTAGTGATGCACACAGGAGACGCTTCAGGAAGGCTGAAACATTTTTTTCTCTGTTGGTTTTATTATTTTCTGTCCTCTTTTAAAATGAAAGTAGTAAGTGACATCAGTTTGGGGTGAAATCACAGCAGTGGTGAATATGTTCTGACCAGCGCAGCACTGAGCGTCTTCAGACTGTAGTTATTGCGTCAGTTTCTCTCTGAGCTTCAGGATGATGCAACACTGTCACATCTGAGCCAATCTGGACTTTATTTGCAGCTTCTGCCAAGTGTACACTAGCTAGTATGGATCGGTTAACCCCTGCAGATGTCATTATACACCATTACAGTGATGCCACGTCTGTTCAACATGTTTTTAAAGCAACTTTAAAAACGATCATTCATTCATTCATTCATTTATTTTTCTTCGGCTCAGTCCCTTATTCATCAGGGGTCGCCACAGCAGAATGAACCGCCAACTACTCCAGCATATGTTTTACACAGCGAATGCCCTTCCAGCTACAACCCAGTACTAGGAAACACATACACATACACACACACACACACACACACTTTGGCCTATTTAGTTGATCAATTCCCCTATAGCGCATGTGTTTAGACTGTGGGGGAAACCGGAGCACCCGCAGGAAACCCACGCCAACACGGTGAGAACATGCAAACTCCACACAGAAATGCCAACTGACCCAGCCGGAACTCGAACCATCAACCTTCTTGCTGTGAGGCAACTGTGCTAACCACTGAGCTTAACCACTTAGATGTTCATCAACACAATCATATTTACAACAAATTATTTCAACCAGTTCTAATAATGCACCGATCGTGATTATTTATGATGAATTAAATGTTTTTTTACAAACAAATAAGGTGATCCTGATACAAATGTTACCCATTTTTAAAAATTATTTTAATATTTATCATATATTACCATCATAATATAGATAATGTTTAGAGATACACCCATATATTATATATATATGTGTGTGTGTGTGTGTGAGTGTGTGTGTGTATATATATATATATATATATATATATATATATATATATATATATATATATATATACACACACACACTGTATACACACATTTATTTAATTATATATATATATATATATATATATATATATATATATATATATATATATATGCATATATATATATGCATATATATATACATATGTATATATGTGGGTACCG